GCTACATAATATTATTATTATTACGCGCGGTGTGGGTGTCGCGCGGATTGAATTCTCCGCAGCTACTACCACCTTGTGCCTTCTTTGCATCAGCGCCGACCTCGCCCCGTATCAGATGCGACCTCATCAGGTATGCAGGCGGCTGTGCGGCTGACTGCTTGCTTGATGCGCCCTCTGCTGTCCCGGCCAGATCCATCTCGCGCTTGTTTGTGAGGAAAAAAAATCATCCACTTAAGCCCACCGCCGCGCCTGCTGCAAAAAAAAAATAAAAAAAATTGAGAGGCAAAGTCATATAAATCGCCTATCATTAAATTTTTCCGGCCGCGCATGATTCGCATAACAAAATCCGCCAGAGAGCTTCTTCAAACTTGCTGCAACATCGGGTCTTAAGAAAAATAGTTTTTCCGATCCATCCAGCATATATTCGCGAGATGCACCATACTGAGAGTGGGAATGGCTGGTCAAATCGCGCGGGCCTTTTGTCGGATCATTCCGCATAAAATGCGCCATTTGGGACAATGGGCATCGCATTATTTTAAATTATTTATCGCCGGGATGACAAGCGCTAAGCAGGATGACAGGCTCGGAGATTTCAAATTTAGATTCCAACTCGTCATCATCGTCTCTCTCGGAATTTATTTTCGCGGTTGAAAACGAAATGATGAGATGAATTGAATAGACCTTTGCTGTTGCCGAGCGGTCAATCAGGTGGGACGCGAATTATTTTCTGCAGACTGGCGATCTCAATCAGATTTTCTGGAAATGATGACAGTTTATATAATTGAACAATTGACATCACTCTTGAATATGAATGTAAAATCTGACTTCTTTATGATCCTTGATGGTACATTTTTAAATTGTTATAGTAATATTCAAAAGATAAAATTAATGAATTTATTTACTTGTGCATAATCAAAAATTTCCCAATGAAACTAAAATAACCCAACTTTGTTACAAAAATTTCCCTCTCCATCATAGTCCATAGCAATCCGTAAACGTTTTAAGATTTTTAAAGCTTAATTCGTTTCTTTTTGCACTCTGCACGCAGCCTCTCATCTTCAGCCAGTCATTAGTGATAGCCGAACCCTACTGCCGCACTTGCCACATATCGAAACATATACAGTCGAAGCCGCGCGAATAAAATTAATCTGTCCGCGCCATACAAGAAAGAGTTTGCCATTTTTCACTGGCAATGCTGTGCGCACCAGCGGCGGCTCGTACCTTTTTATATACGTATGTGTGCTAGGCGCACCACAAACGACGGAGATATTAATGAGAATTTTTAATGGATCTTCTTCGCGTTTAAAAGAGTGACACGTAGCGCCAAAGGCAAAAGCGACGACGTAATTATACATACACATACGTGCACGGCGAGAAAGAAGCGGCTCATTATTCCACTTTTCGCGCATGCACTCTGCACTCGCGCTGGAAAAATAAATAAAATATGCGAATTTTAGTACACAGATTAATTTCATAAGAATGATGTTCTTCAAATTGAGAAGAAGTAACTACGATTTGCTCTCATGTAAAATATATATTACACAGGTTAATTTGCAAAAATTTGCAAAAAAAAGGTTAATTTGAATAAATTTACATCAGTTTTCAATTCAATTTATTTTTCTCCAAACAAGTCAATACAATCAATTGTGAAAAAATTGGTTGGGAGAAAGTTTTACCAGAATCTAAAAAACAAAGTAAAACTAATTCCTCTAAATTTAAGATTGAACTTACAAATATTTGGAATTAAAGAAAATGGAGAAAATATACAACTTTTCCCTTTGGAATTTGCAAAGAATAAATAATAATAGTTGCGGAACAAAGAAAAAAGCGTTTCCGCGAGTCGCTAAGAGCATAGTGGCAGCTGCGTGGCTGGCTGGCTGCTCCAGCACACTCCCTGTGAACTGACGATCTATAATCACACAGGTCATGGCCCCAAACCGTCCCGTTCGTACAGACAGAGCAAAACAACGCGCGGCTAGAGAGAGACACATAGAACCAAATAACCTTGGGCTGCGCTGGGAGTAAAAATTATCGATAGGATGAAATATTGTTATTGTTATTATTTATAAATACTATATCGAGATGATTGGGAGTGATACGCTGGGCTCGAACATCATCCTCGTCATTATATATATTGTCCGACGCCGCGCGCGGAGAAAAGTCTCAGCATCATTGTTACTAACAATCAGACGGACCGTCCGTCCGTCCGCGCGCTGTACTCACAGCACAATTAATAGGCACCAAATTCCTCCACCACGCTCATTGACGACCGTACGAGAATTTTGTTTGTGAAAATTTTCCTTTGGCCCCTTTGAACTTAAGGATGAGCTTGGGAAATAACAGTCGTACCTTCTTAAACTATAAGACCTAAAAGTTTTGCAATTAGAAAGAGGAACTTAATATTTTTATTTAAGTTCTCAGAAATTCAATTAAAAAAAAAAACATTTTAGCAAAAAACTGGTACTCTGAAAATGAATATGCCAAAATTCTAACTTTGAATTAATTCTCTCAGTTGTCTCTAAACATAATTAAATTTCAGTTTCATAATTTGATTTTTTTATAAAAAAAAAACGTTCAATGTATGGTAAACGTCAATGCCCTAGACAGGATCTTGATTTCGTCAATTGAAGCTCGAAACGTGTACCTCTAATTTATTGATTTCGAGTCATTTGCAAAATGGCAAAAAAAAGTGATGTAATTTCAAAATATTCCTATTTTTTATTTTTCCAAATTGTTACATCGCAATTTTTTCTTTTACGTTATTAAAATTTGTTGAAATTAAAATTTGGCATTTTGTTATATTTATTTGGATAATTTTATATGCTTAAATTATATTTTCTTTAGGTTCAATAAAATAAAATTGATTGACAGAAATTTCTTTGTTAAAAATTTGGCCGCCGACTTTGTATCATTTAATTGTTAAAATTTGGTATCTTGCTCAGGCTAATTTTTACAGTTAACCCCTGGTGCTTTCCAAAGCATTTCGTTCAAACAGCAAGTGGCCCGCGCTGGCCAAAGGTCTCGGCATTCCTGCATATCCTTTGTGCTCTCTTTACGCAGGCACAAAGCAAGCAAGCAGAGCAGAGAGTCGCGCAGTTGTAGGCGTGGAGGAAGAGAAGAATTTTATTCTCCTTTTTTTTGGAGCTGCGGGCGGGCGGGATGATATTGTTGGTGTATGACACACAAAGCAACAGAAAATGTTATCAAAATGCGCTGCTGCTCTCACGTCCCCAGATAACACTCCACCCTAGATGTGGCAGCAAAAGCCACCCTCCGCGCGCCAGTCGACAGGCAACCAGGCAGGCAGGGGCGAAATAAAAAGGGCTGCACGCCACCGACATAATGTTATTCCGCCACAGCCGGCAGTGTACCATCCATGTACTCCCTAAATTATTACGTGCATGTGCGTCGGCTTAATAAAAATATTTCGCGACGCAATCCGCCGCCACCGCACACACAGCGTATTTACATTTGCATTGTCACACGCTGCCGGCGCACGTCCTGCCCGACGAATCAATTTAGCCAAATTTCATTGCCCGCCCTTGTGCTTTTTTTGTGTTGCAAAATTTTGCACGGCTGACGCCCTGCTTTTTTGGTGACTTTTTAATCCAATTTAAATCCTCGCGTGCTGGCTTGGCTTTCATATTTTTATATCCTTTGACACTTCCGAATGCTCTCTACAGAGTCAATATTTCACGTCGGTGAAATTCGTCTGTTTGGACGCCGCTTTCCAACCGGCCGCTTAATCGGTGTTGCGCCAGGATGGAAATTATTTTCCTCACTTCTGGAGACGATAAGTACTATTGGTGTCCAAGCTGCGGCGACGGCACTATGCACCCTGCTCGACGCGCATGCATAGCGTGCTGCATAGCTCGGCCTCTATTACAGCAAAGTTGGAGCTTTTAATAGTTTGATTAAGCCGTGCAAAAACACTCACAGAAAAAAATGCTCCTCTTAAAAAAGTTTTATGCTTTCAAATCACCAAATGAATTGCATAATATAAAATATTTAAAGTACACCATATTTTTTTTTCATTTAGTTAAAAGGCAGGTTATACCTCAAAATTAATCAAGATATCGTTGATCAGCAGTCAAAAAGATGAAAATGGTCCCTTATTAAGAAATTGATCACATTGCTCCTAAGTCTATACAAAATGCTAAAAAAATTACTGTGAGGAGAAAAAGGTATGTGCTAGTCATTTTTGATCCATTTAAGGGGCACTCAGAGTACGACAGTAAGCAGCAATAAAGCAATGATTTATCTTTATTAGAAGCGAAAACGTAGTCCGGAATATACATACATATATGTAAAAAGAATTTTAATTTTTTTTTTTCAAATTCTTCACCGTCACATTGTTGCAACCGTTCAGTGGCCTCTCAACTTAAAATTGTACGCATTTTTAAAAAATAAATTTTTATCATTTCATCATTTTTTACATTTAAATCTCTTGTAACATAAACGAATCTCATTCCTGAACATTTTGTATTTCCAATTAACTCAATAATCTAATCTAATCTCATGAATTTTACTTCTATTTTAAAAATAATACGATAAATTAATTCTATAGCAAAATTCTCTCTTATTAGAGGATAAAAATATGCCGACTTTCTCTAAAACGTCAGCACTGGAGTTTCCTGATGCAAATAGCCTCTTTTGTCTGGCACCATAAAAGGATCATTTCTGCACATGTAATAAATAATAAAAAAGCATCGTATGTGTGTGTGTTTGTGTCTACAGGATCGAGAAAAAGCAAGCGAAAACAAGTGTCCTGGGACGACACTGGGTAGACGAATCTCCAGGGCAACCGGGTGATATTATTTGCTAATCGATTGTTTTATAAAGACGACGGCAGCAGCGAGCAAGCAAGAGCAGGGATTATTTTACTTTTGTTATCCGCGACGGTTGCAATCGTGGCCGCTCGTGGTTGTTCGTTGCGAGCGCAGTGCGCGTGAGCGCCGCCGCTCACTTGGCCTGTGCGAGCGAGAGCCACGATGGCGAGGAGCTGGCTGACAAACTCACTCGACACTCACTCGAGTCTGAGTTCGCCATCGAGCCAGAGTAGCTAGGCAGCTGATCCAGCCAGTCAGTGTGTTTTTATCGACCGGGGTCGGGCAGCAGCAGATAGAAAGAACACCGTCGTCAGTCAGTGTTGTTGGTTCGGTCGGCGGCCGCCATGCTCCGCAGATAACGACGAGTTTCGTTCTTCAATTATTTTCCGAAATCAAAGTGGACTTGAAATGTACGCTTACGCGGCCGGCCCGCCGCACTACGCGGCCCCGCCGACCTACCTGCCGCCGCAGATGCCCCCTGTACCTGTGCCCACACCACCTGTGCCTCAGCCGGCGGGACTCTCGCCGCACACCAAGCGCCGCAGGTCTGTTCAGTTCTTTACTTTTTTACCAAGGGGATGTTCTTTGCTTCTGGGAATGGAATTCTCGGCTGGGAAATTCATTGCCCGCGCCTCATTCATTCTCCCGCGCCTTTTGAGGGGCTGTGCGTGACCCCAGACAACACAACTTGTGACAATGCGCCTACAAACTGACTGACTACACGTGTGTGTCTCTACCCCCGGTCTTTTGCTTGTTGGACCAAATTGATTTGGGAAGGCTCAAGATTATGGGGGTCGTAAATCGATTGGTTCTTAAGGGAACAATGGAATTTTTTCGGGAAATAGACCTGGCTATTTAAAAAATATATATATATATATATATATATATATATATATATATATATATATTTCAGTTCACCGCGGCAGCCGCGTCTCTTTTGATGTCGAGCGTATAAGCAGACTGCTATAATAATTTGACGTAGAAAAGAATAAATTATTATTTAAGAGAGGGCTCCTGAAAATTGAGCTTATCATTATTCACAGCTCCCTCTGAAAAGTCTTAAAACATTAGAGACGAGACTAAATCAATTTTAAATTTGCTGCTTTTAGAAAATCAAAATTTGTGACGTTAAAATGTCACAGAGATGGTTTCAAGATTCAAGATTTCTTTATTTTGTTAAGCATTATATACCACATAACATACATAGTAAATAACAGCTTTTTAAAATAAGTCAGTGTACATGGCATTATTTAAACGATAAAATTCGTTAATTTTTGTCCATAAAAATAAGTCGGTGAATAAGTGAAAAGTGAAATTTTCCTAATTTGGGAATATACTGTGGCCAAACTCCTTGAAATTATTTTCATCAAAATACTCCAAGAAACTGCCAAGTCAAACCTTTAAAAATGATATGTAATATTTCTAAGCTTGCCAAGATTAATATCTTATTTATTATTTGAAATAGGAATATTGATGCTGCATTGAAGCTGGTTGCAAATATAATAATAAATAAATGAATTGAATCAGTGAATAATTATTAATATTGCATCCATTACACAAGCATTATCCTTGCAAATCTCAGTCATGCTTCTAATGACTTCAATTCGCGATTAAACCCGCGCGATCGTAAGGTATAGTATATAATCTAATGATTTCCCTAAAATAATGATATTGTGATTTCCTATCGCACACAATCTATCATTAAACCTGCCGCAAACCCACAGCTTTGCAATTTAGAACTAACACCGCGTTTGTCTCTTGGATGAATTTGTTTGTCGCGTTATTTGCCAATTGGGGAAATGGTATGTGCCGCCCGCGAGCCACTAGTTGATCTTATTAATTTCCTACCAAGTATGGTCAATGCGTGTGGAAAAGTTAATGGGATTCTAACATGGAATTTTTGAATGCGAGTAGCAAGTGAGCTGCACGTTCAGCCAAAACAACTTGTTACTCTCACTTTCCACGGCAGCTGGAATTTTAAATTTATCAGCCAGCGTAAAAAAGAGAAGATTTATTCAGACGAAAATAGTTTTTTTTTTTAATGACGAAAATAAAATAAATCGATTTTTGAGCGCAAATAAAAAGGGAATAGAGAAGGAATGGGCTTTAAAAAGAAATCACCTTTTGACTTTGGGGTACAGTAAGGTCTGCACCAAAAGTTCACAAGGAAAGAAGTTTAGTGTCAAACATATTTGGAGGAAAAGTTAATCCAAATAAATTGCCGCTGCATAACTTTTATGATGTGAGAGAAAAGAAGCCGCAGCTTTGCTAGCTTTCAGGCCTATATAGTGTTATTTTTCTCTCTCACACACACACACTCGCCCGCTTGCTATCCTTCCTAAATCGATGATGGTGTACTTTACTTCTTGTGCTCCATTACAAAAGCAATGAGAGCTGGTGTAGTGGTGCTTTTCTCGTCGTCGTCGTAGCAAGTTCAAAAGCTCTGCCTCGCTCCCCACCTGCGCTTTTGTAAACTTTTTCGCTCAAAAAAGTCAAGGCTGGCTGCTGCGCTTCTTCTCTTACTTCTCTCTTTCCTTTTCTCTCTCTCTCACACTCAGTTTGGTTGACAAAAGGGATCTTTAAAAAAAGAGCGCATAAAGAAAGAAAGCCATATGTACCCAGTACACAGAAGCAACCCTCCCAGCTCGATGAAGACAGTTATTGCTCTCTGGTGAGCGGCCTCTTTATCGCTTTGCTCCTATCGTTTCGCATCAAATCCGCTCTGGATGAGCAAAAAACTGGCGAAAATCGGCGACTGATGATATTGTTCCAATAATAAGAGAAATCCCTGCTCCAGCTCGGCAAGTAGGTTTAATTTGTAAACACTTTTGCTTTCAAATTATGCTTATGAGTTTTAGTAAGTTGTATCCTAGGGCTGGCTGCCAATTCTCTCCTCAATGCAATTCCCACCCCCCCCCCCCCCAAAAAAAACAGAAAGAAATAATCTTGACCTGTTGTGAGAGAATAAACGAATTGAATGAATTTGAATTTATTTGGCGCAATAAAAGAGAAAAGTAAGCAGGAGAGAAAATTTTACTTGACGTCACAAAGAAAGTGTTTTGTTATCAAAACTAGCAGACGATAACCGAAATAGCAGATAAAAGATTTAGATACTAATAACCATTTTTTTTTTAATTATTATGGAATTTGCAAACAAGTCTTAATTCTTAATTTCTAATGCGACAAGTAAAAAAATTCACAATACGGCCAATCCCTCTAATAATATAACAATAAAACCTAGTAAAAAAAAATTAACTTTAGATTTCTATGTATCAGTTGCAGTTGATCAAGGTAGACAAATCTTGATGAGGGTCAATGCCTCTCTCTTTTGAACTTTTATTCGTGAGAACAAAGATTTCGGCGTGGAAAATTGATTGTCAATGCATCATTGCCGTTTTTCTTCTAGTGATGTGTGACAGTTAGAGAAAAGAAAGGCATTCCTGCTCAAGCATAATAATATTATTATTATTATTCTTTATTGACTTATGAGACGTCGCCACGATGGAATTACTCAGTGCGATGCGCCCCATTTGCAACATAGTACATGATAATAATAATAATGATCATTGTTACACTTTGATTTCCGCCATAAACTTCCGGTGTGGAGTGTTAGCACCGTAAAAAATGAAACATTTTTGCGGCTGGATTTAAGTGAAAGACAATATTCATTTGATATTTTTGTATTCATTCTTTTGAGCACAAAATATGAGTCATTTAGGTAGCACAATAATAACACTGATCAGGCTGGTTTAGATTAGATTATTAGATCAACATTTACTGCATTAGACATATGTAGTACATCTCCAATTTGTCTTTACAACAAGTTTAGTTTAGTGAAGGTTTATTCAGTTCAAAATTAAATAAAATTCAAATCACCTTTAAAAATAACTTAAAAAAGCGCATTATTTATAACTAAAATTGTACATTTATTTATTCTCCATTTCTTCATAAAAGATCAAATTTCATGAATTTTAATGGTTCAATTTTTAAATCATTGTGCAGCTGAAAGCTGCTTTACATTATTCAACTTGATTGATTTTTCGCTAGTTAATGTCGCACTTTGAACAATCCGGTCCTCACTTCGCAACGAAATTTATGTCCAAATAATTCAAACTCGTCATAAAACATTATCAAATAAACTGACAAATAGCTTTTTAAATCAAATTTAATGGGAGCTAAAAGCTAAAAAGAAACACTTAAATCCCCTTTAAATGTTCGATTTATCAAGAATTGCGGTAAAATTCCCATCTCATTCAATTGAATAATGAGCTTATTTTGGTTTTAAATTTCTGTTCGGAATATCAACTTTTTTATAAATTCTATTATTGTGCGCCTTAAAATTTTCTTCGACTTGTGTCAAACAGCACTGTGGGGCCACGTGTCGCACAATTTCCTAACACGTTCGCGATTGGGAAAGGCCGATAGGCGGCGCACGGACCATACTAATAAATATAAAAGACACGAGGGAACAAGATCGAGTGGCCAGCGCAGCATACACACGCGTCTGACGAGGCCGTCTTCGGCGGCTGATGGTGCGCTTTCTGCCGCCAAACAAGTTCCTCTCAGCAGCCCTGAAGGAGCAAAAAGTTAGGACTCGCGTATACACACACAGAGAGACAAGGCGCCTGCCGAGACCTTGAGACAATTTATACAAAAGAAAAATATTTTATATATTCGCGGCGCAGGACCGGTTCAAAACCGCGCGCTTGATGCAAAAAATAAGCAGAAACTGTAGCCGGCCGCCACCGCCGCAGCTTTGTTATTTGCACTTGGTAGCCGCGCACTAAATAAATATTCTCGTTTTTATATTCAGCGAGTGGTTCGTGTGTGCATCCACATCAGGGGTGGCATCGTGTATGTTGCCGGCGCGTAATTAGATGCGTATTGAGTTGTTTTCTTATTTATTATATGTTGCTGCCGAGGCTCTTCATTAATTATTCATCGACGTCGTTAATGCACGAAAGTGGCCGTTTTGCTTGCAAAATAAAATACACTGCGTGAATTGTTAAATTTCTGCTGCTTGATGAATTAGTTCCAAAAGGGAAAATTTATCCTACCTTTTTTTGCTGCTGGGGAGTAGATATATGATTGGCCTGCACACCTTTTTATTATTATTTGTAGAGTGAAACTCCTGGTTCTGCCGTTTGCATGACTGCACACGCGATTAGGTGGCGTGAATCCATCAAAACACTGCAAGATGATCTCCTTGATTGATTCGACCCACCAAGGGTTTATATCAGGAAGCAAACTCTCGAAGTTTAGGTTGCACGCGAAATACTCTGCTAGACATAGAACGCACGCTCCTAAAAAAAAAAAACTAACTGATATAAAAAATTTTGGCTGTTTTTTGATGCTTCTTATTTATTAACTGGACAGAAAGAGTGCAAGGGCAACCAGCCCAAAAGGAAAATCCGTGTTTATCCATCCCTTTAAATATAGCAGGCCTGTCTGCTACCGCTGTTGCCATTCCCAAGAGGGATACATAATTAAAAATAATAATAATAAAAATTAGCTACATTCCTGAACTGAAAAGTTATTTTAATTT